TCTTTATCCTCCCTTGCCCTGGAGCTCCTCCCATTGTTAGGATGCTAACCAGTGCAGCTATGAGGAGGTAACTGTATTGTGCAAACAGTGTAACTCAGCATGCTTGTGCTGCCATAGGCCAGAATGCAGCAAAACTGTCCAAGACAAAAGTACCAATAACTGTAAGGATGAAGTTGTCCTTTATGATGTGATAGATAGTGTGACTATCTGGTAGAAGGTCATAACACTGACTTATAACAAGGTGATATTTTCCAGAGGGCACTAATAATTCTGAATTATTAGTACAAGGCAGTTAAGTGTATAAGGCATTTACCAAGTATTTTACAAGGAAGGTCAACTCTGGGACACTCCTCATGAAACAAAAGCCCTAAGTTTCTCCCTCTCCTTCTCTTTTGTGTCTTCTTGTTGGCTGTCTTGCCTCTTGATCAGGCTCAAAATGAGGTTAGATTTGGCAGATGGAGCTTAGGCGTTTTAAGCACATTTTTTGGGGGGAGGGGGTAACTTAGTTTAGAACCACTTAGATGTCGGGACTGAACTAGAGTTAGAAAGGAAAAGAAACAGTTGGGATTTTAGTTCTAGAAGAGAATGTTGATACCGAGCTATTTGAAGAGGATTGAATTGAGAAGGGGAATTCCCTAGTGTGGTTGAGCAACTCCAGGATTCAGGATGGCATGGGAGGGAATGCCATTTTGAGAGCCTTTGGAGAAAAAACATTTGAAACAGGAAGACAGAATCACTTATCTGAGTTCAGGGGAGTTTTTCTGAGACAGATTGTATTCCGTTAAACACTAGTTAATAGAGAGGTCCAACTGAGGGTACTCAGAACGGACTGGGCCCGCGTCCAAGCCACCCATTAGAGCAGAGCCAGAGACTGAAACCCGCGATGCTCCAGGCCATGTGTGCTTAGGTAGTGGTGCTGGTGTTTTGAGTAGTAGCTCAGTCTTCCTTTCTGTTTTGCACTTGAGGCAAAGCAAACTTAGCAAAGAAATGGCAGGGCAGGGAGTGTGGAGAAGCAGGCCCTGCCTTGGTCGCCGATGACCACGCAGGCAGCACCACTGTGATTAACACTCTTGAGAAGAAATAAGAAGGAGGAGGGACATAAATACCAGCTGGGCTCTTTGGAACAAGCAACCCACTATTCTCCCTCATAGAAAATAACAGACGAGCCCCAAACCAAACTTTTGAAACTAAACCATGGTACTAGATAGAGCTGTTTGGAAATGCACAGCGGACATGTCTTGGTGCTCAGTGAGCAGCTGTGTGGCTGATCTGGAAGTCTTGGGAACACCGGGTCACCCTCATTCCACACAGGAGGCGGAGAATCTCTGCTATTCGCAGGGTGGGGCAGAAAGGGTGCTCCTCCCCCATGCTATGGTCCTTAAGTCATAACGGTTCATCCCTGTGTGTGGTAAATAATGCTGACATGTCACAGAGTAATGAGAAGCACGTGGATCATGACTGCATTTAGCCAGAACTTCTTGAGATTTATTTAGTTCCTTAATTATAGAGGGGCTTGGAGGCCTGGCATATGGCTTCAGTTTATAGCTGTAAACGGTGGCCTTAGGGATGAGTGTTTGTAGAGTTGCCATGGAGGAAGAGGAGTGTATCCAGAAAAGGGGTTGTATTCCCTGAGGCATTCTTTTTGGTCATTGGGGGGGGGGGAGGGAGTGGGGGAGCCCTGTAAGGGTTAAGTGAGAGCATTATTCTGACTTGAGGTAAGTATGTCAGGCTAAAGCAGCTTTCTTCCTGCTCAAGTATTTTGGTGAAGTTTCATGCCTCTAGGGTCTTAGAAGAAGAACTATTCCCTTTAGTTTTTATCTTATGCTAAAATTACACCTTCCTTTAGATGACTTGGGTCATCTAAAGTAGTTAAGTACGGTTGATTTTTCTGTATCCATGGATTCGAGCAGGCTTGGATCAAAACTACCAGGGAAACACATTACATCTGCACCGAAGGTGTGCAGACTCCTCCCCTCATCATTATATATAACAGCTATTTGTAGCATTAGCAGCCGCAGGAAGCATTGTAGTCACCTAGAGATGCTTCAAAATGTTCTGGGAGATGTGCAGGGGTTATTTGGATATACAGACATCTTATATAAGGGGCTTGAGCATCCACCATTTGGGTGGTCAGGGAGAGCCAGGAAGAGGAGTGACAGGAGATGCTGAGAGAAAAGGTCGTCATAGATATGGAAGGATAATTATATTTCTATGTGGGCAGACAGACAAAAGGAAGTATTCAGCTTGGGTGTGTTACCCTGCTGAACCGCCAACAGAGGCCCGCATTCAGCAATCCACGAAGAGCTGAGAAAAATCTGTGTGGTTGGAGAGTTTCATATGTAGTCACTGCAGTGTGCCTTCCATGGCGTGCTTGCCAGAGGAGAGTGTGACGTTTCTGAACTGTTGTCTGGACGTTGTCGGTATAGGCGGGAGGCAGGCTAGAAAGAAAGTCTAGGCAACACTTCCTTTCCCTGTATGAGGTTATAGAGAGTGAGTTTCTAGGTATTTATTGTTCTTTATGGAGCTCACTCACTCCAGGACTGACATTGTCCTTGTTTGAGAAAATGTATGCACACATTCCTTCATTCATTGATTGTGTTACATTTTAGATTTAAAACTGTGTGCATGATACCAAGATTCATTAGCTAAAAAGCCTCCACCCTTATTTTGTGAGAGGGGATAACAACTTGTGCATGTAGCCAACTATGCACAGAAAGCTGTTCTGGCGTTTATCCAGGGTCCGATACTGCTAAAACACCTTTACATACTTTAACCCTCTAAACTAAAATAGTTGGCCACATTGTCCATTTTGTTGTGTAAGTGTTGGCAGATTGTGGCCCAGGAGTCACTTCTGGCATGTGCCCTGCCTCTGTAATCCTTATTGCCCCATTTGCTGGAATGGTAGTGGCTTCTACCCGAGGAGGCAGAATGCTGGGGAAAGAAGGCCGAGACTGCCAAACTGCTGTAGACCAAGAGCAAGGCATTGACTCTGTAGACACAGTCAGATGAGCCTCGGGGGGCAGAGAGAGTGTAGTGCCAAGGTTCAAATGTGATATCTGGAGCAGAGAGGCTGGAAGATGACACGGTGGTTAAGAGCACTGGCTGCTCTTGTTGAAGATCCAGGTTCAGTTCCTAGAACCCACATGGTAGCTCATCTGTAAATCCAGTTCCTGAGGACCTGATGTCCCTCCTGACCTCTGCAGGCACCAGGCATGCACGTGGGGCACATACATGCAAAGAAAACACCCATAGATGTAAAACAAGTCTAAATCACCCGATGCAGCCCTGTGCAGTTGAGTCCTATGCGAGTGCCTTCATTATAGTCCTTTTCATGGGCCTCTCTTCACTTTTATTCACATATATTCAACAGTGTGCTTAGTTTACTTGCTACATGTATTACTGCTACTGCCATAGATATGTAGATGTGAGGGTTACAAAGTGAGAATGGGACACCTCGCCTCTGGGACCACGGAACAGTGTAGTCGGGAGGTATAATCCGTGAACCTATACTGTATCAGAACTCCCCTCTGTCCCAGTCTGCCTTCCTCCTGCTTGCTTTCTCCATGCTTTCTTGTCACACTGCGACCCAGCCAAATGTAGAGGCACAATAAGCTAGAGTAGGGTCAGTCCCGGCTCTGTCATTGCATGCTGGCAGTATGAAGGTACATCCTTGCTTGTGCCAGTCTTGTGAGGTTTAAAATGAGTAAACATAAATGAATCGTGGAAAATTTTAGTCCATGGAACCATTCCTAGCTCAGTACCGACTTTTTCACTCCCAAGTGTAGTCCTGCAGCGTGACTCCTATCATAGCTTTTGTTCTTAGTTTGGACCCTGTGTAGCCCCCTCCCAAGTCCCTTTCCCTATACTTTCCAGCATTGGGGAACTGCTCATAAACCCCATGTTTGCCTGCTTTTGTGGTAGTCTGGCCTTTGTTTATGCAGAGGCTCTTTGCCTTGCAAATTCATTCTTTGGAACTAACTTTCCACCTCTTGAAATTTCTCTGACTCCAGTGCCCCCCTCTCGGCGTCCCTGTCTTGCTCTGCAAGCTTTCTGCATTATCATGGGCCTTGAGCTGTTCCTGTGTGCCTCTTCTCAGCGTTCGACTAGGAACTCACAAAAGAGAGTGAATATTATTTTATGTCCCCAGCATGTTCTTGACACATGCTCAACTTTCAGTAAATGACTGGTTACAAATGAGAAGTAGGAACTTGGCAAAAAAAATATTTATCATATTGCCCAGAATATTTTCTTTGTTTTATGTGACTAAAAGGGGGGGGGGGAATTTACCTTATTAGTACAACTCGAGGAGGAGCCAACAGGAGCACTAGCCTGGCCGTCTTGATAAGACTAACCCTGTCTTTGTAAGGCAGGATGAGAAGCTAGGGACCCCCACAGTAAACAGGAGCCACAGTGAACTCCATGGTACACAGTGAACTTAAGTTCCATCTTGCATTGTGAAGGCCATTGTGCTGTATTTAGCTTCATAGTAATAAGAACTATGTGATACTTGATAGTGTTTCTTCAATCTTTGGAAAAAGTTGTCCTTTTCTTTATTATATTGAGGCTTCCATAAGATGACAATGGCTTCCTCATTGTATCAAAATGCTTGAATATTGTTCTGAACAATACAATCTCAATATCATCCAGTTGTGGGCATGCAATGTAACATTTTCTCTTTGGTTCTCTGAACTACTTAGGTTTTAATAGGAAGACAGACAGACAGACAGGCATGCACGCACACACGCACGCACATGAGAGGGTTAAATAAAGCTTAATTTTAAACGGCAATAAATCAATATCATTTGCTTAGGGGAGAATGCATGGGGAAAGGTAAATGGGTCAGAAAGGACGGATATGGTGATTTGATGTGACGATTTCCTCATTCTTTGAAGCAAATCAGCATATCACAGAGGCCCCTAAAGAACCCAGAGTTAGCCTGATAGGCACACACCAACTAGCTGAATTCTAAAACTTTGCCCCCCACATCTTTTCTCTTACAGCTTTGCTTTGTCGGATGAAGCATACAGATCCCTCCGTGATCAAGATAAAGACCAGTGCATACTCATTACTGGAGAAAGTGGAGCAGGAAAAACAGGTGAGGCCACCACCAAACGAACTGACCTTTCCCTCTGTGGAAGGCAAATGCTGCTGGATGATAGCAGTAAAGAAGGCAGGTGACCCTCAGGAGCCAGGTGGCCACAGCTGCTGTGCAGGAGCTTGATGCCCACCATTGGTGTTCTGTGCACAGCACATCTCTCCTGTGAGGGGACAAGGCACCATGAAGGTGCCAGCCAGTGTAGGTCCTAGCCCCGGATTCTAGTTCTTATTAGTACCATCTTTGGCTCCAAAATGGTCTTTGTCTTTCCTTGGCTGTGTGGCCCTAGGGAGTTGACCCTTCCCAATGAGATGCCAATTTATTCTGACGTGTGGCAGTTACAACCATACCTGGCCTGTGCTAGGAAGTAAAGGAAGGTACCAGCAATGCTTGGTTTCATCCTAGAGCCTCTTCATGCCTAACAATTCGAGATTGTGTAGATTTTGTCTGATGTCTGCAAGGTCAGGCTTTGCTTTATTTCTTGTGCTTATGTCACTGACCTGGTCCTGAATAAGGAAATGGTTTCACATCGGTTTCTTTGATAAAATCAGAAGGGCAAAAGGGGGGGGGCACTTTCATGATTTTCTGTAAAATGCTTATAGCTCTTGTAATTGGCTGTCCCTCTGAGTATGCAGAAGTGTGGTTTTAAGAGTTTCCATCTTGCATGTTCTTTAATAGTCAGACTTAACACTTTTGGGGTCTTCCTTGTGGTTGGTACATTCACTTTTGTGAACCACATCTTTTCAAGCCTGTGTTTAATTATTTTGAGCCAGTCTCATGTACACTAGGCTAGCCTTGGACAAAATGCTTTGTAGTCAAAGATGGTCCTGAATTCCAGATTTCTCCTGCTTCTGGCTCCCAAGTGCTAGGATTGCAATGTTTAGCAGCAAACCTGGCTTCAAGCTAGTATCAATGGACAAGATTACTTCAAACCTACATGTAGAATCTTTTACTTTAAAATAAAACAAAACAAAATAACCCACATCATTTTTGTTGTTGTTTGGTTGAGCCTTTTGAGGAAATGCCAGACTCTTGTTTTGTCCATCTTAGAATTACTGTTGTCCTTGGGTGATTGTAACAGTAGTTATTCTACATTGAGTATTTAGAATGTGTTACCAATTTTTATTGTGGGAAAAATGAGACACAAAATGGTTCAGCAGTTTTCCTAAGTGTCTTAGTTATATTTACTGTTGCTATGGTAAAAATACCTTAACAAAAGCACTCAAGGGAGAAAGGACTTATTGTAGCTGACAATTCCAGGTGATAGTCCATCATAGCCAGAAGCCTCAGCAGCTTGAGAGAACTGGTTACATTGTATCTTCAGTCAGAGAGGAATGAATAAATGAATTCATGTCTGTGTTCAGCTCTGTTCTCCACTCATACAATTCAAGGTCCCTTGCTTAGGGAATGGTGCCACCCATGGTGGGCAGGCCTTCCGATCCCAGTTAACATAAGTCAGTAGTGCCCCAGAAAATGAACGTATGTCCCACCAACCTGCTCTAAACAATCTATTCCATGGGTGAGTCTGCACTATATCAAATTAACAAAACTAACCATTACACTGAATGTACACAGCATGTTGTAGGAGGGCTGGGATTTTCAATGTGGGTAGAAAACATTGTTCTAAGAGTTCTGGCTTCCATATCCTATCTTTTTAAACCCAAATCTTTGTGTCTTGAAGATGCTTCTTTTTGAGCACTGTGCTAATACTGCCCTTTTGGCAAGTCCCCTTCACCTGGTCTCTGAAGTCTTGGGGGGGGGTGTTGTCTACACATGGTTAAATGATTGAGTGAATCAGAGGAACTAGCCTCATGTCTATATTTCAGTAATAGGCCAAAGGACTAGTTCTCCTAGAAATTGCCCAGAGTAGCTATTTTAGTTATTTAGGAGGTCTGTCCTAGAAGCTGATTGTTTTGTTTAGTCTTTTTCTTTATCCCTTTATATTCTGTCTGATTATATTAATGTCTTCTGCATTTTTATTCCCATCTGGTGTTGCTTATTTGATCTTTGAACTAATATGCCTCATTCCTACCTGATTGCACACCTGACCATTCCCAATACATCTCAAACCAACCATGTAATAGAACAGATTTGATTTTTTTTCCCCTTTGACTGTTATTTCAGTAAATTAGACCAGCAGTATAAAACTATACCTGTTGGTAATTTTGGTTCTGTCTTTTTGTATCTTATACCCAGGTCCATGTCTAATCCCATCAGTTCTCTCTGGAACCTATTGTTTTCCCTTTCTTTTTGTTCACATGGAGCCTCTGGTCCAAGCCACCAGCTGTGATTTCGTAGTCATTGTGCAGAGTCCCTTGTCCCCTTCTGTGTACCCCAGTCTCTTTTATAGACACTTTTTTTTTGACTGTTCTGACCTCTGTTTTGATTGTGAGAGCTTTAACATGACATGGTCATCTTGGGGAATGATTTACTCTTAAATTGTCACTTTTTTTCACATGAAACAAAGTTAGCTCCTAAGAACAGTCACAGCACCCTGTCTCTTCAGGAGACTGGTCATGGTGGTGAACATCACAAGCTATTTAAGTGGTGGTGTGCTTGCTTACTTATTAATTTACTTTTAGGAGCATATGATGTGTTCATTCCACATACTGGCTTTTTGTTTACTGTATTGGTGATGAGGTAGGCCTTACCTGTAGGTATCTGTGTTCTTGCTGTATTTTGTGCCTCTCCCTCACCCAGTCCCTTTTGATTATGTTCAGAAGCCCACCTATTCATGCCTCAAAGCCTCCTTTCTGCTTTCTCTGGGAAGAAATCCTTTATTCCATCTTCTTCGTGACTACTGGTGTGTGTGTGTGTGTGTGTGTGTGTGATTCCGACTATATCCGCTTGTTACTAAGTGAGTCATTAGATGTAGGCTGTGGTCACATTGATCAGTCCTGGCCAGTTCTTCTCCTCCTGTGGAGCATATGTTCCCAGAAGTCAGCAGTCTCCTATTTAGCCCCGGTGATGTAGGGCATCCTTCTCAGAACTCTAATGTTGTCAATTGTTCCTGGAGCTGGTCTGTCTCTCAGTAGGGTTGTGACTCTTTCTTACTAAGACACAGAATGGAGGCGGGTGGTGCCTCTACATCCAGTGGGTTGGTAGTCACACTTTCTGAGATGGGGGGAACAAAGATTAAAACACCTCATTCCATCAGTGGAACCTTAGTTGCATGGATTCCTCCTTAGTTGTGTGTGGTTTTCTGATCAGCTGTTGCCTTGTGGTTTCATGGCCTCGATCGTCACCTATAGTCTGCTCTCCTGGATGGACTCCTTCCTCGGTTGCTGGAAACAGAGTGTGGTTTTGCAGGACTGTCATGTTAGCTACAGATAACATAGTGCTGTTCCAGCCAGAAGCTGGGGGGGGGGGCTCTCAGACTGTAGCGGTGAGGCAGAGGCCACGCCCACCAACTGTTGTTGACTGATGCTAGCAAAATGAAACAAAGTTGATGTAGAAAAATATGAACTCTAATAGTTGTCATTAGCTTCAGTAGACAAAATATCATAATTATAACTCAGCAATCTCCTAGCATGGACTCGGTCTGTAGGCTGGATGGCTCTTGGCAGTATTGGAACTTGGAACATCTTTTAACATTGCTGGAAGCATCTGTCCTGTCTCTGAGGTGCTGTACTTCAGCTGTCTATTATCAGCTGGTGTGGGGAGGTGATGCTGTACTCCAGGGACCCTGGTTTTCCATCCCTATTCAGCTGCATCTTGGTACCCGCTAACCCCCCAACCCCTTCTGTCATTGGCAGATCTCAGTGGCACCTCCTTACACCCAGTCCCCGTAGAGATCCCAGTTTTCACTGAATATTTCTATCTTTCTCTGTGTTTCTTTCTCTTCAAAATTAGCCATAGAAAAATTGCTTCCAGTGTGACTGAGTTTTAGGTTGTTACTAGATGCTGATATGGAATAAAGCCCAGAATTTGCATGTGTTTATAAGTCTCTGTTTCATAAAGGTATTTATCAGAAAATGGAATAATCGAAGTCAATTCAGAGGTTGCAACATGGTACCGTGAGGAATTTGGGGGAGGGCATTTCATCTGGGCTCTGAGGGAGGGAGAGAAGGCAGACCATGTCTAAAACAGCACATCATCCTGTTCACAAGTTAAATAATTTTAGTTCTTCCTACATGCAGCTATTTAACTTTGTTAGTACGTACATGAGATGGAGTAGGATTGGCCTTTACAGAGGGCCTGAAAGATATGGTGAACGTGACATAGAGTGTTTTCATTTTGAATCTATGCTTAGTAGTTTAGATAGAATCACCATGCAGTGTCAGAGGGCTTATTTTATAAGAAGTAATTAATTTAACTGGGTCATAAAACCCTCTTGGCAGATGATGCTGTTATTGGTCATAAACGCTGGAGATAGTCTTATGCTACAGGGTTATATAATATGGGCTCTTAGGGAGAGGCGTGAACTCTCTGAGTGTGTTGGGGTGCTGTTTAATTCATCACCACAATACTAAATAAAAAATTCATCATGCTTTTTAAAAGTGCCCAACTATTTCTAGGGAGTGAACTTGTAGTTCACTCCTATAATTTAAATCCTTCGTGGCAAACTGTTCAAGCCTCAGGAGAGCCAGGAGGCAGCACACGAGGAGCCGTCAGATCTGCATGTCTTCAAGAACACCATCGTCCACTGTGCATGCGCAAACACCATACTGACTGGGCAAACACTGACTTTACAGTCCCGTCAGTTTCTAGGAACTTATCAGCCGTCTGCAAGGAGAGTTCCGGAGCCCACCTTGCTCATTAAGACCTTTGGGTCTAAACCCCAACTGGCCTCCATCCAGTCCATGTCTTTGATAGCTTGCCTCGAGAGCAGTGAGGCTGTGACTTACCGTGTGTGGTCTGTGCACTGATGCGTGTTTCAGAGCACTGAAAATGCATGCAGAAACAGGACGGCTAAGCAGGCTTTCATTGTGACAAATGTTATTGCATGCATCTATGAGCACAACTGTTACAGATATCTAGTAACTCCTGGGCTGATTTACTAGGAGTGTAAAACAAGTTTGCTCACACTTAGAGCTCCCATCCACTGAGTGCTAGGACTGAACCCAAGCAGAGCCTGCTCAGTGAACATGCAGAGGTTTTAATGCCTAGGGGAATCCCATGGTTCTGACTTCAAGATCCTATTCACCAGTCTTCCATTCACCTGCCACCATGATAAAACACTTTTTTAATAACATTATTCAAAACCCAGTGCCAGGTGCCAAAGAATACAGACCAATTATTTTTACCCTCATAGTACTTTAAAGTCTCCAGAATTATAATCTATACTCTAAAAGCCCTTTTCATTCCTCATGGGAATTAATCATGACATAGATATTCTGATCTAGAAGTATCTCATTACAGTCTATTTGTATGTTAATACAGAATATATGTTAAACCTTAAGCACTGTACTATATTCTGTGAGAATAGATTTTTGGCCTTGAAGATCATATTTTGTCCGACTGCCGACAGAACTGAAGGTTTGAATCTGTGCAGGCGTGAATGTGAATGTGCCTGGGTTAGAAATGATACATCCAGAATTGATTCTAAGCTGTGTGGTTTCATTTTGCCAAGTTTCAGAATCTGTATTTGTGGTCCTAACACTCAGTAATTCAAAAACTAGATTTTGATCTCTGGAGAATGATATCCAGTTCTCCCTAACCTGCAGCAGTATACTTATAGAAGTTATTACAGGAAGATTTGTTTTTTATAACTATATAAAAGATTTGAATGCAGATTCAAATTTATTTGAAAGGAAATGGAGCCGAAAGCCTGTATTAAACACGCATGGTCATGAGGGTGATCTCCTGTTCCTGGCACGGAGAGGCCTGAAAATGTCCATGCAACATATGGCCATGCAGTTTGTCCCATTTTTCTAAAGTAGCTGCATCATGAATTACTTGCGTTAAAGATCAGATACTAAGTCAGTGAGAGAAAATGTAGGAGTTCTCTCTTTTAGACAGTGTGGCTTTGTTTGAAGGAATGTGATGTATTTGTGTGTGAGGGCAAGGCTGTGGAGGTCGGAGGACAACCCCAAGTATTCCTCATCTTCCACCTTGTGATTTCTGCCTGGGCTCCAGGGATCCCAACCAAGGTTGCCAGGCATGAGCAGCAAGCATTTTTACCCACTGAGCCTTCTTCTTGGCCTCTTGGAAAAATTTATTTTTAACTCCTGTTTCCAGAAATTAATTATTAAAATGAGCTGTATAGTAGAATTCTTGAAGGCAATTAAGGATGTGAGCATAGATACTTTCTACCAGCTTAGGAATAAGTTGCTAAAACATGAGTTGTAGCCTTGAACTGTACTAAAAAACTATTTGGATTTCTTTAATAAGTTTTAGAGCTAGTAAAAGTGCCCACATTTCTATTTAAATTGAACCATCTCTACCTGCCAGTGGGTTCTGAAGGTTTATATGCATTTTAGGAGCTAGGTGAGGGAAGCCCAGTGGACACTCTGAGAAATCTGCTCCCAGACCCAGGCCTGTTTCTGCCCTGGCCATTCAGGGGTCTCCAAGAGGTCACATTGGTTCTAATGCCACTAGTGGTTTCTCGGTCCATCCCCTGTCCTCCCTCTCTCCTTTCCCCACTGTGACAGTTACCCCAGGTTTATCTGGTTTCCAGAGGAGGCAGTGTGGCTAACCCTGAAGTTTAGGGCTTGGCTGAGAAAGCTCCATAGTTACCAGAATAAACAAAACAGCCTGGGCTTTTTATGTTTTGTGTCAGTTTACCTAACAGAAGACTGGCCCTTTTATCTGAAGTGTAATCTGTTTAAGACAGTTATTTTGCCTATAAATAGATTCGGTTTGATAGTTTTGTAAAGAGTAGAAAGACCTGAAATTGATCTAAGAAAAAAAAAAAAAAAAAGGAGACTATCCCTGGTAAGATAGGAGTTTACTGGTGGGGGAAGGGGACAATGAATGGTAACTGTGGAGACAGGAAACTGAGGAGGAGGAAGGACCAGGAAGTGTGTGTGTGAAGCCAACTGTAGATGTGGGGTCTAGACATTCTGTGCAGAGTCCAAGACCAGATCTGGGAAACGTGGCCACTAGACTCACAAGAAATGGGATGTGTAGTTTGGGGACTTTAAATAAAGGCTACTTCATGTGATCTTGCAAAGATAAAAAGATTCTCATAGCACTGTTATGGTTGTTAAAGGGAGATTGTAGCAGTGGATCATCACAGACTACTAGAGAAGGTGTATGGATCCATTTAGATTACCCAGAAAGAAAAATGGATGGAGATGTAACTCTAGTTACTGAAAGAGTACTTAGCCTCTAGATATAGTTCTTAAGGTTCGCCCATTTGTTTCTTTCCATGTTGTTCAGGAGTCTACGTGCACATGATATGCAACATGTAAAATGCTGTTCATTATCCCTGTGAGAAGGGATGTAATGCATCTATAAAGCTTCCCAGAAGAACAATCATGCTAGGTAGCCTTATTTCATCCATTTGCAGGGGCACCTTCATACACCTGAGAAGGCCTTCCTACTCATTGATAGTAGCACTAAATAAAGATTTGAGAAAGTGCTGTATACTAAGATTGGTTTGCCTGGGTGGTGGTGGTACACACCTTTAATCCCATCACTCAGGAGGCAGAGGCAGGCATATCTCTGAGTTCAAGGCCAGCCTGGTCTACAGAGCGAGTGCCAGGATAGGATCCAAAGCTACAGAGAAACCCTGTCTCAACCCCTCCCCCCGCTCTCCCCCCCAAAAAAGGTTTGTTTGCCCTGACTGCCCAGACCATGTGGTTTTGTTCTGTTGACACTTAGTTGAGAATTTCCTAGATGTTGACCTTGGATCCTTGGAACTAGACACACAGACAGGAAACAAACTCCTCAGTGAATAAACTTGAAGGGGATGCAGTGGCCCTTTTTGGAGTTCTGCAGTGTCCAGGAGCATAAGGGAGGCTCTGAGAAGCCTTGGGTGAGGATGCTTGCTTTCCTCCCTCATTGTGGACCTGGTATCACCTTCTCTTTGAACACAGGCTGATATCCTTTGGAATTAAGTGTTAAGAGGGGTGTTTCTGTGTGGAAGGTTGCTGAGAGAGGGCTCGTTGACAGGCAAGAAGGTTAAAATAAACCAACAAATAGAATTTGTTCCTGTCCCCACCCGAGCTAGGAGTTGTCCGCTCTGTGTGATAGGTTCCTCATCAGCTTGACTTTCAGTTACTTGCAGAGTCTACAGAAATGACTGCCCCAGAAGAATGTCAGTCCCCCATTAGCTGCTCACTTTTGGAACTGAAAGTCATCAGTCGGGCCTACTTGTGAACAACCCAATTTGGCCCAGAAACTGTTTTGAAGTAAAACAGTTCTTTTAAACTTCAGAAATGCATTTGGCAAGGACACTCAGATGACCAAGTCATTTTTTGGCTTGCATCGTGTATGGAATATAGTTGTATGTGCTTGATTACTTTGACAATGTCTGACAGTATGGTGCTTCTGAGATTTCCATTGACCACGTAACTTACCGTTCCTTTTAACAGCTCAGAGATAAACTTCAAGGACAAGCCGGGCTCTAGCTGAATTGATGATGTCAGTTGAAAATGCACAGCTGAAAGGCTCTGAAACACTGACTTCACCAAAGAGTAAAGACCTCTGAAATGTTGCTAATGAATCCTCTCTCCCAACATGATGGAAGAGAGGATTCTATATAATTGAGGATTCTGTATAATTGAGGATTCTGTATAATTGAGGATTCTTTATATTTGAGTAACACGGCTATTTCCCCTCACAGAGGCCAGCAAGCTTGTTATGTCCTATGTGGCAGCAGTGTGTGGAAAAGGAGCAGAAGTTAATGAAGTTAAGGAACAGCTTCTACAGTCTAACCCTGTCCTGGAAGGTAAGGATTTCGTGTATGTTGGCTTGTTGTGATTCAAATAGCAAGCTGTTTACAGGGCACTAATGTTGCCTGCTGTTCAGGGAGGGATGAGCTTTTGAGGAAAGAAAGCCCCCTCTTAGTGATGCTTGGCTCCAAGTACCTACAAGAGTGAATAACTTACCTATGGAAAAAAGCTTTCCCACTTACAAAAATAGTCTTTGCCATTCAATTTTCATTTAGCTTACCTCAATTTGCTCATAAGCAATTGACTGGTATTTGCGGTTGATGGTGCAGTGATATTTTGTCACTCATTATAATGCCTGTGGCTGGTTATTTTTGTTGTCAGGGAAAATCAAGGGCTGTAGAAAGCCCAAACCTGGCTGTAGATCTATATCCCAAGTTCTGTTCCTAGTTCTCTGGTAACTAGCTCATACTCCTGTAGGCTAGAAGACCAAAGTCCTGCTAAGGTAGGTTTCATTTGGAGGTGTTCTCTTGTCTCAGAGACCTTAATGCTCATGTGAACTCCTTTTTCTGTGTTTCTTGGGAACAAGGATGGAAGTGAGTTCCATGATGTCCCCATACTCCACGCTCCACACTCATGACTTCAACTAGCTTTAAGTATTTCTCACTTCTGTCCCATTGAGGGTTAGAACTTTAACATATGAATGGAGAGAAAGGAACAAAAACATTGGCGCATCAGTCAAGACTGAGCTCGATAGAGACTGTTCTTTTACCTTGATTAGAGCATGGCATCTACCTTTGGTATAAACCATCATTATACTAAAAATGAAATTAGAGTCTGCAAGATGGCTCAGTAATGAGGGCATTGGCTGCTCTTGCAGAGGACTTGAGTTTGGTTCCCAGTACACACATGGAAGCTTACATTTGTCTGTAACTGTAGTTCCAGGGACTCTGACACCTCCTTCTGGCTCTTGCAGATGCCAAGCACACATGTAGTATACATACATACATACATACATACATACAGTGGAATTTCTCAGCCTAGGCACTGTTGTGTTGTGTTGGACTTGTCTTTGCTGTGAACATGCATTTATGGCATCTATTTGCCGGGTGTCCGTTGCACCCTTGTACCTGTCAGGATTAAAAATATTTCCAACCGTTGACAGCTGTCCCCCAGGGAGTCAAATCTAGTCTAGAGGAACTGTTTGGCTCAACCCTTTGCTTAGAGAGCAGAAGGACAAGATTGAAGATGGACAAAAGTAAAACTATCTTGGGGCTGGTAGGCAGCTCTTGGAATGAGGATCCCCTCCCTGTTGTCTTTTCTACTCTGGCTCAGCTCCTCCTTCCCTTCTGAAGATGCCCTTGACCTCTAAACATTCACTCTGAAACACCCTTCATGCTTCAGATGAGACACTTTGCCTGCTGGCCTGGCTGGCATGATAGGAGAGACATGAAGCCCCGTAAGCCATTACATGTTGATCTCTACTCAGTTCAGTACCTTAACTGGTAGGGTTTATGAGAAGTGGCATCTCTTCCTCTTATCAATCTGAGATTTGGGCTTTTTGCCCCCTGCCTTTGTGCTCTGAGTGAGCTGTATTTCTGTCATACTTATCTTAGGAAAGCTGTGGTGTAGCAGAATGCTGCAGCCTGCATCTTTTCTAGAATCTTTCTATTTGGTGGTATTTGAAGCTAGACTGCAGTGTGGGAAATGGAAGAAATGCCCACTGTGGGTGTGTGTTATCTTTATGGGAATGCTTTGCTTTTTAACTGGAGCTGCTACTGTAAATGAAGTTCAGAACAACGAACTTTAAAAAAAAAAAAAAAACTGTGGAATGTATCTAGGGTGTTCTATAATGGAGTACTTTTTTCTAATTATGAGGCTCATGGTAAAAGACTTGAGTGTTTAGGGTTGTGTTTAGAAATGTGCAACTTAGACTTCTGTGATGAAAAGATGGTACATGGCTTGCTGGTGGGGCTCTGAGCAGGTCTTGTGGAGCAGTCCTTCACTGGCCCCTGACCTTCAAGCCACATCGCGTTGACCTTTATGTGTCAGCATCTTGAGCTGGGCTTTGGGCCTGTACTAGTTGGTTAACTTGGCAGGCCTACATTCCAAACTGGCCACAGAAGACTAGCCCACAGAAGCATGGGGAATGTCACGGTTTAATGGGGGCCAGGTCAAGTATCCACTGTTGCGTTCATGGATGTCTTTTGGTTGGCAGTGGGTATGTGATGAGGATTTGATCCCCTCCTCAACATGCTTCCCTCTGTGAGTGTTTACAGGGTTTCCACTCAGTGCACAGCAGGGTCAGCCTCTGAAGGGAGAGTTTGGTGTCAGGAACTTATCAAACCATGCTTGGCTCAAATGTCTCAATATAAGGGACCTTCTCTGTTGACTTTGTCAACTTTGTCTTAACCTGTCTTGTGCCAGCTATGTGGTGTTTGAAACAGGGTCTGGGTGGCCTGGAACTCACTATGTAGACGAGGCTGGACTTCATCTCATAGAGATCTTCCTCTGAGTGTCAGCGTTAAATGCCTTTACCACACACCCAGCCAAGTATGAGTTTTTTAAGTTAAGAGCATGAAACAGGATGAATGAAATGGCTTAGTGGATCAGGGTATTTGCCACCAAGCCTGATGTCCTGAGTTCAGTCTTGTGTGGTAGAAGGAGAGAACCAACTCCTTTAAGTTGTCCTTTGACCTCCACATGCCTATTCACAATAAACCAACACACAAGTACGTGTTTTTTTAAAGACATAAAACGGTGGATTCAACATCAGGTTTGGCTGCTGAACTGTCATTACACTCTCTGAGAATGCCCCCTCTCGAGGGTGTTGCTTGCAGGAAAAGGTGGCCTCTTGAAGCCTGTTTGCTCCCTGATGGTTGGTTGGCACCCTAATCCTCCCACATTTAACTTGACAAAGACGTGGAGGCTTCCAGAAATGCAATATCTAGCCTCTTATTCAAGAGGTTTGTTTCATTTAACCACACCATCACAAATGCTTCCTCACTAGTTTCAAATGTGGCTCCCAGATCCCCAAAACAGCCCAGGAGCTGGGCTTGAGGGAAATGCAGAATTTTGTGTCTCAGGTTGTACTGGCCCAAGTGCCCTTGTACAAGAGATTTTCGTGACTAGGTTCACCTCAGGTATTGAGGTACACCACTGCTGTCGTTGTATCCACAGATGCATATGTGACTTGCATCTAGGCCACTCTGTTCACCGTTTCCATCATCCTAGACTGGCTTGTCAGTATCTGTGCACAGGCTTGGTGAAACAGTTCATGTATCTCATAGCTATGAGTTAAACAGGTGGCACGGTTAAACGTTCTGTGTCCAGGCATAATCGCCTGGTAGTAATTTAGTTCTCATGGGTTCTCATTTCAAAGGGAGGCCCCAGGGCAGATCAGTCTCCTTGGGCTGTGCATTATGAGTCATATTAATTTATTTCCTAGATTTCATGTAGGCCTGCCTATTAGGCCTAAACTAATAAATAATGTGTTTTGTTTTGTTTTCCCCAAGGGTTTCTCTGTGTAGCTTTGTAGATCAGGCTAGCCTCAAATTCACAGAGATCCACCTGTCTCTGCCTCCTGAGTGCTGGGATTAAAGGCATGCACCACCACAGCCTGGCTATGTGTTGTTTTTATGCTATTTTAAATAACCCGTTTTTGACTCTCAGTAGGTATTGCTCTTGCTGTATGGTACTTATGCAATCACATTTATATAAATAGCTTTATTTCAGAGTTAGACAGTTTAAGTTTCACATGCCTCCTGTGCTCTCTAAACCTCACCCACTTCCATCAAACCTACAGCGATAGAAGCATGATTTGTGAAATAACCTTACTGATAATGTTGACGGAGGAGTAGACGCCTTCCTTGCCGCCTAGTTAGAATCCTCTCTACAGGAGTGAAAAGGTGTCAAATTAGGCAAGACTAAGTTTAGAGTGACACTTGAAACAGTCCCAGGGTTCGGGACTGTCACTTGGTCCATGTGTATTTCTAATAACTGAGGGAAGTTTTAGCAGCTTATTAAAATTTCTGCTGGATGTGAGTGCATGGCTGTCACTGAGAGCTGTGTTTTCCTTGGTTATTCCTGTTCGGTACTATGGTTGCTTTATGTTTCTGCTCGGAATTATTATTATTTTTTTCACCCGCTTTACTGATGCTTCTGTTTCTTTCTCACCAGCCTTTGGGAATGCCAAGACTGTGAGGAACGACAACTCCTCTAGATTTGTAAGTATTTGTATAAGCTTAAGTGCTAACACTAATATTTAGTCCATGTGTATTTAAACAAACAGATGTTTAATATTTCTTAATACACACACATTTTTAAGGTCAGAAGAGAGCCACCCCCAGTCGAAACCCACTGGAAGTTCTATAAGAGTTCTTTGTTTGTTATTTATTTATTTTGCCTTCTGAGATTTTTTTTTTTTCAGTTTTTCTTGTAGCGGCAAGCTATTTTTATCATGTTTTCTCCTCATCTTCAGTCAAAATTACATGAGTTTAAGTAAGACTATTCAGAATCATTTCTTACTCATCTGGGGGGGTTATTATTTAGCAATCATAATTAAAAATCAGAAATTCGAAATTCGACAGGTGATGGTGATACATACCTTTAGTCCCAGCACTCAGGAGGCAGAGACAGGTTGATTTCTGAGAGTTCCAGGCCAGCCCGATCTACAGAGCAAGTTCTGGGATAGGCTCCAAAGCTACAGAGACTTCAGTCTTGGGTGGAAAAGAAAAAGAAAATAAAAGAAGAATCAGAAATTCAGCCTGGAGTAGTGTCTCATGCCTTTAATCCCAGCATGTGGGAGGCAAAGGCAGGGGGGTGTCTGTGAGTTCAAGGCCAGCCTGGTCTACATACAGAGTGAGTTCCAGGACAGCCAGGGCTGTTGTACAGAGAAACCCTGTCTTAGAAAAACCAAACACACAAAAGGAATTAGAAATTGGATAAAAAAGAAAGATCAAGCGAGAGTCAAGTTTGTGTACTCTGTTGCCCTGGTCTCTTATTGATGGCTTCAGAAAGGATGGCATGTTCTTAAAACTTCCTGGAGGTAAAATCACTAAGTGCGAGGGTCTGGGGGATCTGAATACTGAAAACTGAAGCTCATAATATCTTGTCATGATTAAACCTGAAACACCACTTCTAGTCGAGGTTGCCCCATGTTGCTGTTGGAGCATGGGGCAACCCTGTAACTGCCCAGTTACTTCTCCCCTGTAACTGCCCCCAGCACATGCCTGCAGGTTGGCACACTTGGTTCTCTCTAACTCCCCTCGGGCCTCTGTTCTTCACAAAGATATAGATACTGCCTTGGGAGCAAATGTGTTCAGCATCACAGTGGTGTTTTTGCTCCTTGCAGTGCTGGGAACTGTGTGCATGCTAAACTATACCTGTGGTACCCCCTCCCCTCCCCTCTGCTCCCTTCCCCTCCGTTTGGTTTCTTCAGTTACTCAGGATGGCCTCAAACTCATTAGTAGCTCAGCTAAGCCTTGAGCTCTCTGGTTTCTGTTGCTGAAATATCCTGAGTGGGCGGGATTAAACATCTGTACTGTGTGCCCTGGCTCCATGATGGTATTTGAGATTGCTTTGGTTTTTTTTTTTTGTTTGTTTGTTTTGTCTTGTTTGTTTTGTTTTGTTTGTTTGTTTGTGTGTGTGTGTTTTGTTTTGTTTTCCTTCTGTGGTTTATCAACAAAAAAAAACTCAAACAAACAAAAATAATAATAAAAAAACCCACACATTTATTTTCTAAGCCGTCTTCTTCCTTCATTGCTTGTACCAATGGGATCATTTTTGGTAATCTTTGATACCTTCATATCAGAGCTCCTCCCATGCCCCCATTTTAGATCCCTTTGGCCTTCTCCTTAGACAGTTGTCCAGAGCTTAAAGAATGAAATGGTCTCAGGTGGAGGTAGTTTTTATAGCTTAGAAAGTAGAAGGCTAAATAAGTTCCTAAACCCAAGACTGAATTTTTCCATTGGATTAGCCTGTTACATTCTTATAACCAGCTTGATCCAGACCTTTTCTAGTTTAGCACATGGATAATCTCATTGCATAGACAGAATCTGAAATGAAGTAATTACAAAGATCAGGCTTTGTTATATGATAGAAATTTAATTTTATTTGCAAATTGTATGCACATGCACTTTTAAAGATATTGACAAATATATGTGGTCATGACAATAAAAAGGCAGAAACAATATTGCTTAAAAGGTCATTATAGTGGTATTTAAGATCCAGTGAATGGCTTGGCAAGCTATTTAGCTTATTACAAAGCTTCAGAGAAATCCTCTTAAAACTTGGGTATTAGAATATGAGATTAACACTTGATTATAGGCTAAGTCATTTCATGCCCAGCTTCTAGCAATTTCTCTGCTTTGTGGTCTATGACTTGATTATTAAAACACCCAAATGCGTGTTATAATTTTATAATTGGAGTCTATGTTATCTTGTGTATAATGGTGATGTTGCTTGACTGTATTTGGTTGCTGTAGAGTGATTTGTTGACCACGTTACTGAGGAATCTGATAGAGCCTGTTATGCCGAAGTTAAGACACATCGGTCATAGCTGACACTTGTTACCAGGGTGTTCAAGGACATCCCTCACAGCATCTCCCATGTGTCCCAGTGTTTCTAGTTTGGCATGGAACGTTTTTTCTTTTGAGAGTGAGACTCAATGTTTCAGGCTTTGTTTATTAGTGCTCTTGTTTAAGCAGTGCATGGGCATCTGCTGTGTGCAGACTGATGAACAGGGCAGTGGAGGGAAAGTGCTTTTGCCCGAACTCTCATCCAATAAGTTGTTTTTTTGGTTTTTTTTGTTTTTTTTGTTTTTTTTTTTTTTTGAGACAGTTTCTCTGTGTAACAGCCCTGGCTGTCCTGGAACTTGCTTTATGGATCAGGCTGGCCTAGAACTCACAGAGATCCACCTGCCTCTGCCTCCAGGTGCTGGTATTAAAGGCATATGCCACCTCACCCAGCTTATTCAGTAAGAATTTTTAAATGTATGGATTTGTTTCTGTGTTTTAATATAAGTATAGGTTTCCTTACATTTCCCTTGTAGCCCATGGCTTCCCCCGACCCAGGAGTGATCTATAGACATGTTCCATCAAGCCTCTATGCTTCTTTGCTTCTACAATCCAAACTCTTTCAGTAGCTTCCAGGGCCTGTCTTGCTGAAGCACCGTCTCTGCTTCTTAGCCCTCCTCACTCTGCCCCAACTTCACACACCTTTGTGACTCTCTGGCATCCCAAGTGCTTCTCAGACTCAAGCCTTTGCTCTGGAGACCTGCACATGCTGGGTGGCATTTGGAATTATTTGTGTCTCCCTTCAGATGTTACATTGACACTATCTTTCAAATACTCTGACCTCATCTTTATTTTGTTTGCCTAATGTATTTATTATTCTTTGGAGTTGCTGTACCAGATTACCCAATTTTCTCATCATTGACTTGAGATCCTCATAGGTGCCATGGGAACAAGTATTCTGGCTTGATTGTCTATCTTTCAGACTCTTAACCGTTAGAAGAGCACATGGTGCCATTTTAGACACTCAGGAAAAAAAAAATCTATGAATACTCTTTTTTAAGAAGCTTATAGGCTAATTAGAGAAGTTAAGCATATCTAAAAATATGACACAGTACCTACATTTTTAAGTTTTCCAGGAAGCTATGTGAGTGAGGTTTTTTGGACTTTTAGAGAAGATCCTAGAGTAGAAGACATGTTAAAGGGACTCAAAAAGCTTAAGTGGATCAAAATTAACTGGTGAGCAGGAAGGATTGGCCTGGTATCGAGAGGAAACCTGGGCCTGCATTTATCATAGTTTGTTGCTGGACATATGGAAGGAGTTTTTAGACCAAGGCCTAGCTGAGGGTGCTGAGTGTCAAGTTTAGAGTCACTACACATTGTTTGCAGGTGATAGGAAGCTTCAGGTTATTTCCAAGTAGACTATTGTTATAATCAGAGCCAAGCTTAGATGAGCTCTGAGGGTGTGGCTGCTGCACAGCATTAGGCTGTTCCTTCAGCAAGGACATTCTCACAACTGCACAACAGTTGCTTTTACTCTTGTTGTTTACTCTGGTAACTTCCTCAGAGAGGTCATTGTCACCATCTCCCAGGCCCTAAAACTGAGTCAATCCTGCACCCAGTGCCTTGCCTCTTTGTATGTCCCTATATCCACCTGTAATAGTTTCTTTTTTTGCTAATCTGTCCAAATACCTCACAAAGCCAACTTCGGAAGGCTTATTTGGGCTTCTAATATGAGGAGAAGCATCATCATGCATGTTGGTGTAGGTCCTGACACTATTCTGTCCGTCCTTTGGTTGGTCCCTATGTTCTCTAAGTTCTCCATCCTCCCCACACAGAGCCCCCAGATGGGACCATGTGTTCAAACAGCGAGCCTGTGGGGGAACTTTTCACATTCAGGATGGAGGTAATTCCTGTGATCTTGGACCGTGTCCTGTCTCACTGATCCCTTCCACCTGCTCTCTGGATCTTGTTGCCTCCTGGCCCAGGGACTCCTGTTGAAGTTATCTCCTGGAAGGTCGGATCCCTGGCCCCCAGGATCTTTAGTTTTCTTCCCTCATCTCTGGCTGCTTTGCCTCCTGTGTCCCTGCTGCTCTAGAGGATCTCTGTTATGCCCAAGCCTGTCCCTGTGACTCTGGCTAGCTCTCAGTTTATGTTCATCTTTTGCTGCTCTTACTGGAAGCCCTGGACATTTCTCCTCTAATCAGTGCGGACAGCTGATGCTCGGAACCCTTGATAGGCATAGCATCTGGTCCTGCTGCTTTCCAGTCCATTGCACACTGATCAGATGCTCTTGTAAAGTGGTGATTCTTTTCTCATGCCTCCTTGTTTAGGAGCCTTCAGTAACAGTGGCTCATGTCAGGAGAAGGTCAAAAAGTCTCTCTGCTCTAAGTTTGGCCTCTAGCCTGAAGCCCTCCCTCACGACCTAACAGGAGCTGGTTCTTATGTCAGCTCGTTCTGCTCCCCGACCTCCTGTTGCCTGACTTCACATTTACTGAGAATTCACTCTTGCCCTCAGCCTTGCATCCATGAGGTGTGTCTCTCCACCACAGTGGCCTGTTTACAAGAGCTCCTTCTCTACGGGGACCATGTGTGGTGTCCCCCTGCACTTTTTCCATCCTAGAAGAAATGATTTGGAGACATGTGCTTGATGCATAAGTGAGGATTTAAAAGGAGGATGGCAGTGGGAGAGAGCGGGCGAGGGAGCATCCATAAGCTAATAAAAAGTCACATTGCTGACTAAGTGCCCTGTGGTCATGTTTTTCCCCCCTTCCTATCACACTTCTAAAATTAATGTAATTCTTGGGGAAATTACATGCAACACATCTGTCTAACTGTGATTAAGGTAGGACATGAAACAAAGCAAAAAAAATTAACTTCTTAAATAAACATACTCCTTTCAAACACGAAGCATATGTCGTGGTTATCCTGCTGTAACTCTTCACTGAGGCAGCTGGAGACCAACTCTGTAAAATTCACAATATTTAACTCCATGTGTCTTAAGATACTGGCCATAGAGTGTGATGTGAACCCGGACTCTGTATAGCTATAAAATCTAGGTCAAATGCCACTAAAAAGTATAAGTAGTCCCTGATTCTGACCTCGTAACACCACATCATTGTGTTTTGATTTGAGTAGATGGGAACCTGGAGTGTTAGGGTTCACTTCTGCCTCATACGGACTTAATGACAATGGCTTAAAAGATATGTTGCCTATAAAATGAAATAATGTATCTTTCCAATCAAATTTCTCTGCCAAGACTATTACCTTTGCTTTTAGTCTTGATTTGAGGCTGTATACCCTTCAGGAAATTTGAAAAATATCTGAAATGGAAAGGTCACACGATGGAAAGGTTTCCCACCCCTCTGTCTGCGTGTGAGTGTGTGAGCAAAGATTTGTTCTTAAATTAGGTACAAGCTAAAGGGCTCTAGGTAATGGTATACAGTGTGAATTATTCATGGAGACACATTGTTTTGCATTATGGGTAAATGAAATGCCTTTCTTAGTTACTTTGAAACAAAGGACTAAAAAATGAGTTAGTATGCTATTTTCTAAAGAAAATGGGCTGTTTTGAAATGAACTTACTAAGTCTCTCTTTGGCAGGGCAAATATATGGATATTGAATTTGACTTTAAAGGTGATCCACTGGGAGGAGTGATAAGTAACTGTGAGTATTTCCTTGACCCTTTATGAACCAGTTGAGAATAATAAAACAAGCCTTTTAAAATGGTGAAATATTTTAAATGCTGTGATTAAAGAGATGGGAAGAGAACCATTTACTTTTCTAAGAATGTTTAACCATTGTGTTCAGATTGCTTTACAACATAATGTAAAAAAATATATATGAATGTACACATGTATGTATGTACACATATATATTATTTGTTTTGGTTTTAGTTTTTGAGAGAGAATTGTACTGTCTCGTCCAAACAGGTCTCAAAACTCATGTATCATTATATCTGGCTAAATGTTATGAAAGATCAATTTATTATTACCTTTGGAAAATTGTCTAGAAGTCTGCTGAAGTATCTTTACTTTATATCAGTACTTTATAGTGATCTTTAAGCCAGTCTAACAAAATATATTCATGATTAAGAATAAAACACCAGGAATTTATTAATTGATTTTGTGGTGCTAAGAACTCAGGGCCTAACACACACTTGGCAAGCCATTGAACTTTACCTCAGCCCTAAAGTATAAATAGTTGATTTAAATTAATAACTTGTAAAGGAAGCATTTATCCGGTACAGTGAGAAATGTTAGACTTCAAATGTTATTTTGAGAAATGTGACCTCTTTTCAAGGCTCTAGATAATGGAAATGTAATATAGTTCTTAGTAAAACATGGACTCATTAGCCTCCTCCCGAGTGTGACTGTAAGGAAATGAGCAGGCCTGGGTAAGGGCTGCCCAGGAGCTCCAGGTCCAAGGACTGAGTGAGGGCTGTCGGGAGTGAGCTGCACCAGCTTCGCTGACTGTGTGTGTCTTCATCGCCTTAGAGCCGCGAGTCATAGCACTCCCCTGATACTTCTTTCTCTTTTGATTTCAAGTTTCATTTGTTTGGAAATTAGTTATAATGCAGGGGTTTATGTGCCTCCAGCCTTTCGTTATCTTGCTATCCTCTTGAGTGTTCTGGGTTTTAGGATCACCCCAGAGTGCTATAGGAACTGTTAGAATAAAAGTAAGTCTAGACTAGATAAGGAAATGGCAGTTGTCTAAAGCATCCAGGATTCCTTTATTGGTTTGTTGCAGCAATGGCATTCCCTTTTCTTCTTTAAAAAAAAGAAAAGATTAAAAAAATTTAAATTATGTATATGTGTCTGTCTATACATGGGATCGAGATGCTGGTGGAGGCCAGAAGAGGGTGTTGGATCTCCTACAGCTGGAGTTACAGGTGGCTGCGTGCGGCCTGACAGACACGGGTGCTGGGAAACTATCTCGTGTCCTCCAGAAGAGCAGCAGGTGCTCCTAATCACTCAGCCATCTCATCATCGCCAGCATTCCTGAGATATAAAATGGGGGAATGGTCTGTGATCTGGTGAAAGAGGAGGGTGGACAAGAACCCTGGAGACACCAGGGGTTCCTGAGCTCTTCCTGATCAGCCGTAGGGCCAGAAGAATGCTGAGCAGAAATCAGTGTTATGAGTTATTTGAGCATACTTTGTAGCCAGAATCTGGGTGTGTGTTTTGGAGATAGGGTCGGGGGGGGAGAGAGGGAGGGAGGGAAAGGAGTGGGAGAATGAGAACCCGTATATATACTTACAGATGGATATTCATGAATGTGTGGAGGTCAGAGGTCAATGTCAGCGTCTTCTTCATTCACTGTCCACTCTATTTCTTCAGATGAGCTCTCTCACTGAACCTGGAGCTCAGAGATCTGGCTCCACCACTGGCTAAGAAGTCCCAAAGTTTTTCATTTCTCTGTTTCCCTTGTGGTATAACAGGCACATGCCATAGAGCCCAGCTTTTTTGTGTAAGTCCTAAAGGTTATGCGTGTGTGGCAAGCATTTTATCAATTGAGCCATTTCCTAGCCCCCCAAGTAACTGAATTTTAAATGAAAATTTTCATCATAGTCCACGTATAGGACCAGAGTCTTCTCATCTTTGAAATAACGGGAGTGAGTAGGTGAATCTGTGGTATTTCCCACATCAGCGTTTTTACAGCTCTTGCATGATTTGACTTTTCATTTTGGTTTGCCTGACTATATAGACTTTGTATGCTACTCTTGGGATTGTACATATTTGTAAGAATGTATCATTGTGAGGGAAATGCCTTGAAGGGAAAGTTCTGATATGACATAAAATTGGATAGGATGCTACATGATTTCACATGATTTCGTATGCCAAAGATGGCAGCAGAAGTATTCATGTAGCATGCGTATGCTCCAACCAGAAGTGGATGATTGTGATTCCTACTGGACTGTGTAGACAGATTCCACACCGGATGGCAGCCGATGAGAGTTGTCTAGGAATGGGGTGACTCAAGTTTAAGACCACCATTTTCAGGAACAATTAACTTTAATTCAGCAAGCTATCCATAAACCTCAATACTTTTCTTTTTATAAGGCAAATTAACTTTAGTTATTTCATTATTAGTTGTGGTTATTACAGTAACTAGTTATTATGTTCATGGTAGCATTAGGTTCATCCCTTCATTACAGAACTTGCGGTTGAGCATTCTGGAATGATTTAATCAATACTGTTCTTGAGGATTCTATGAAGATAATTAGCAGTTACTTCATAATAAATATGAGAAAATAACTTTGGATTTACATTTTAAGTTCAAGGTATAAACAGAAATGTCTCCCTGACATAAGTGAGAATTAGGAGACTCTTACAGTATCCATGGAAAATAAATACTAAACACTCCGTTTCCATTAAGATTAATAAGTCTGTGCGAATGAATTTCATATGGCCTTGGTTACCATTTGTTCCCAAAAGAAAATTATATTGAAATTTGTGAAGTGGGCACACCCTGGTGTTTTAAGAATATCCTTTGCTTAGAGAGGAAAGGCACACATTAGTGGTGGGACAGGACATATTGACAGGGCTGGCTCCTGTGATCATGGGAACTGCCAGGCTGGCTTCAGCTGTAAAGCAATGGGTGAACCCCTAGGGTTCTGGCCAGACCAAGACAAGTTAGCTTCTTGCAGGCTGGAAAAGAGCACAGGCCTTGCTTTTTTGGTAGGAGATATCCTGGGAGGTGCAAGAACCTTCTAGAAAACTTTATACCCAGGAAGTGGAAAACAGGCTACCAACTCATTTCCCTTTTCCTAGTCTGGACACACTTGGAAGTTCAGATCCCTGAGGGCAGTGCCCTTAGGAAAGATGTGTAATTAAAATGGGAAGTGGCAAATGCTCCCTTTAGTAGAGAAGATAAAACACAGAAGCATGTGCAGATATCCTACTGACCTGGAGTGGCATGGGTCCTAGCTGGTTAAGGCTTGTTGGTTACATACTTACTAGTCAAGTGCTGTGTTTGAACATTTTCCATATTGTCCTATTATAAACTGGAATCTTTGAGAGACCTGTTTTCTTCTTTCTTTTATAATATTCCCAGGCGTCCTCTTAAATCTGTGGTGCTCGGAAGCAGTTTCGACCATGGAAAAATGTAATCTAAGTCTCATAGTTTTTATCTGCTCAAAGGATAGCACAAAGAGGAACCTGCTCTGGAAATATGTTCTGATTTCAAGTAAACCGTCTAATGTGTAAAATCGGGACCTTCACCCCAGCTGGGAGTCAGGAAGAACAAAGGCAGCCCTGTTTGTCCTGTTTCATTATTTGGGCATTTGCTTCATGAGCCCAGCTCTTCCGGGTGTTCATGTGATCACTGGTGTCTATACGAAGACAGCAAGTGTTCAAAGTTCTCTGGCCCCCCATGTCTTCACCCCTGAACTGAGAATGATCATGTGTCAGGATGCACCAGGGTCAGTTCTTTATTAGTTATAACGTGTTTGTTGTGGTGCAAGCACGTATAGTAAATTCTCAAATATTTACCTTCCACTGTTGTTCATTTTCTATATAGCCTTTCACCAGACACATATTCTGTAAACACAGAGACAACCTATCTACTGCTGAATAACCAGCAACTAAATAAATCTAACCTCACACATGCACACATATACCCCCCCCACGCACACACACACACACACAGTCACCCCACACACATATATATCACATACACAGACATACCCCACATACACATACATGTATGCACACATATACCACACACACACACATCCATCCCATATACACATACATACATGCACACACATCCCACATATACACATACACCCCCACATACACTCACATACCACATACACACATACACACCACATACCTACACCCACACCCCACATACACCCCACATACACCCCACACACACATACCACATACATACACACTATACACGCACAACACACACAAACATACACCCCACACATAACACACACACACTCACTTCACATACACACATACACATATATAGATACACACTACATATAATTATATGCTTTTGGAAATTTTAAGAATACTCCATTTAGTAGGTCATTTTATCTATCTATTTATTTTTTTGGTAATAGTGGGGATTGAACTTAGGACCTTGTGCTTATACATCCTACTACCAAGCTAAATACCAGTTTTTTGTTTTTTTTTTGTTTTTTTTTACTGTCTAAATGCTCGCACACCTTGGCAGACAGCATGGGGAAGTTGTACTGTGTGTATCCTGGGGATGGAGCTCAGATATCCAGACATGGTGGCTTGCATCTTTTCCCCCTGAGCCATCTCACGGCCCAACAATTTTATTTTAACAGCCACAATTGGATAGGTTTTTCAGGAATAGCCACAATAAATTCTCATTCTTTGTCCATACCTTTGGATTGTCCCATTCTCATTGACTCAAGGCTTGGCCATGAGGTCCATTGCAGTCTGTGGAACAATTATCAAGGGGAGCCTAGCCAGACTTGGAAACTGGTTGCATAGTGCAGCTTGTCTTTGCTGTTTCTGGAGTTTTTCTTCACTGTTTGGGACAGAAGAGGATCATGAAATGAGCTGTCCAGTATGTATCTTATCAGGAGTCACCCAGAGAGCCAGGAGCAAGCCTAGGGCTGCCAGCCATGCTGGGTTCAGTAGCGTTAAGCTACTGACATCCAGGGTGCCCTCTTACAGTCC